ATTTAGATTTAGATCGAACCATTTCCTTAGCCTGCTTAGTGGATGTTGGAGGAAGCGTTTCACAAGGTGTCACATCTAGAGATTGGCTTTTGCCCGGTGCAGAATCGCCGGGGCATGTCCCATGTCCCACCCATGTCCCACCAAACATGCTACCGGGCCCCACCGCATCAACCAGGCTGCATAAGGTGAGCTGATCCTGCTCGTTGTACATCATAGTCACCAGACTTAAAAGCCGATGGAACATATACATGGCGCTTAACCGAACCACCCTCTGTGCAGACCGTGGGCGGCCAACCCGTTGGACGCCTGCAGAGTCTGCAGGGCGGGAAATGACTTTGTGGGGTCTATGGTGGGTTCGTATCCGAAAATAGCACGTGGGCCAAAGGAGTCTTGGTCTGCTTCCCTTCTTCCAGAAGGTTGTTTGGGGGGTTCCACTCATTCTAATAATCACAAATACCCATGCGTTTTGACAGTTGTCATGTGGAGTTGCGAAACCCGACGCGTTGATCACAGGAACAGTGTCATGAAGAGGATCATTGGTATGGTTCGTCTTTGCTCATCAGTTTGAGCCAACTGCTGATAAATGGATTTCTCCGCTGTGACGAGTCTCTCCGTTCGTCGGTGAACATATATTGGCATTTGAGACGCCGCATACAGTAACTATCCAACTTGAACACATTACTGGCCAGCGCCAATGACGCAAACACATGCTGAAAAACAAATTGTGGTGCCAAAACATGTGGCAACAGTTGTCCAAAGCTTCTCATATGGATTCCTTCGGCCATCTTCGGGCTTTTGTGGCTACTGGTTGCGACCACCGAGCCGTTTTGCTGCCGACTTTGGGCGGGTGCACGAACCATGCTGCCTTCAGCATCACGGTGGCGCAGCTAAGAACGGAACTGGCTGGGAACCGCCAGAAGCGACACCCTCCAAGAAAAGCCCAAAGGCTTCAACACTGGATTCATGGGATATATTGGGTCTGTCTACTATTACCTGTAACAGTGGATGATGGTTAGGTTGCAGGCCTTGTTTAAAACGGAGTGATGTGCTTTGTTTACGGGTCCTGTTGCAGGTAAGTTCGGACGGACCCGTAGGCCCTAGGGATATCGTCACCGTCTACAAACAGGACCGGGGACCGACCATCCAAAGGGCCGGGCCCCCATGGAGTGGTAGACCACCCAAGCATCGTCAATGACTTCAAAACAACGCAATTGTTGTGTCAAGGTATTGAAATATATATATATATATACATAATATATATATATATTGGGGTTGGTTCACCAATTTGTGGTGACTCGATCTGTTTTTGGATCTCTTGCGCTGGCACTTACTGCTGAGGATTCTTGCCTACAGCAGCGGTAGTAGCAACAGTCGTAGCAACAATCGTCGTCATAGCAGAAGTGGACAGTTCAAAGCAGGCAAGCAGCTAGCAGTTAGCGTGTAGTCGGAACTGTTCCAAAAGTTGCTGTAACATATGCTACAAACCTGGCTACAAGCCAACCATAACAACGGCAACGAAACTAAGTGTTTAGGATGAACTGTTGTTTAAGTGTTTTGGTGCCGTTGTGTGAGTTGATCACGTGTTTTAGGTCTCTTTTCTACTGTCAACTAAATGAGCTTACAAAACTTAAAGGTAACTGAAAGAAGTTAACCCTTTTTTTTGCAAAAACAAAAACATCACGAGAAAGGACTGCAGACTTCTCTTCAGAATCAAAACCTTGGAGTGCGTGTCAAAACTGACGGAGACACAAGAAGCCGAGAGGAAAGATTTCTGAGGAAAAAAAACTCAAATAGTGGATGCGGTCCAATGGGCCTACAGGCACACAAGAAGGAATATGTGAATGTGAAATGTAGCAACGTTTAGATTATTGACTCGTATTGTTAAGGATTGTAAAGCTGCAAACAAAACTCCAATTTTTGCGTGCACAACAATACAGAATACTCAAGACTATTGAAGGTTACCTTAGCTAAAGCGCGCTAGATCTTGTTACTATGTTGACCGGATCAATCATGTTCGAACCCAGTGTGGCTGCACCGAACGAACGTGAGCTCTCGGTGGGTCCAGGCCGGACTTCTACTTCTTGTCCTCTTGAAGCTGCCAAAGACGTGCTTTAAACCCATGAGTCCGTTCCCTTCTCGCTCTCTGGGCCAATTGTGTAGACGCATCTGTTTGGAGGCTTGTGTTCGGAGCAGCTTGCATTGAGCGTCCGGAACGTGTTGACTGAAATCACGAAGCACACTATGTTTGGCAATTTGCGTGATGCGAGGTTGTGCAAAAAGGATTTGACTACCTGTATTCCTTTTTATCTGGAGCTACAAAGACTTCTAAATGATACGTTTCATAAGTTCAACATTATGACTCATAAACTGGTTCCAACTATGTTGGTGTCCGAACTTAGCTTGAAAAACGCAAAAAACACAAAAAAAAGTAGTCCTCGACGGCACCGTAGTAGCGGCGGCGGCAGCAGTAGTACTAGCAGTAGTGGCGGCACTAGCAGTAGTAATCGTAGAAGTAGAAATAGAAGTAGTAGTGTTCGTCGTCGTCGTCGTAGTAGTAGTAGTGGTGGAAGAAGTAGTAATAGTAGTAGTGGTGGAAGTAGTAGTAGGAGCAGTAGCAGTAGCAGTAGTAGTTAATACAGTACGCAGTGGTAATACTATTAGTGGTGGTAGTAGTAGTAGTAGCTTGGTAGTAGTAGTAGTAGTAGAAGTAGTAGTAGTAGTAGAAGTAGTAATAATAGCAGCAGCAGTAGTGGTAGTAGTAGTAGTAGGGGTGGCTCCAGGATGGTGTTCATCTTACAGGCCGAGGATTTTGTAGTATGACTCCGTTATCGTGAATAGTTGTGTCATTAGTGCTGATACACCCAAACCATTAATGACATACGCGACATGCTTGACTCAAAGGTCGCGACAACACTTCTAGGCAAGCAAATGAAATGCTGCAGTGACCCGTCACAACCCCCCCTCCATTCAAAGCGTTTTATTTACAGCAAGACACCTGCACACATGCAGGAGCTGTTCAAATCCTACGACAAATGTTTGGAGAGTTCAGATATGTTCAGATTGCATCAACAAATATTAGCGCTTTCCAACGAGGAGTCGAGCCATCTACACTCTGACGAGCACATCACATGGAAGCAAGAACCCCTTGAAGCGCAATGTTTGCTCTATAAACAGCGATAAACAAAGGGAGTTCCAATCCCATGCGAGGTGTTCCTTGCAGTGTAGATGGATCGCTGAGCCTGAGCGTGAGCAAAAGGAGCGGTGTAAAAAACCGGTCTACGATCTGTTATTGGCGGAGCTTCCGCGACCTGCGTTTTGGCTTCTGCGGGCCATGTTTGGTTGAAATCCTCTTCCGTGGAACTTCCGCGACGTATTTCTCAAAAGTGCTTATAGGTTAGACAAATCTCCTTAAAGTAAGAGGCATTTGTTATTGTCAAGAAAGCTCAAGAAGATAACATGTGCACTTCCGCAAAGCTTCAGCGATGGTGAATTTTACCTATACTTCCGCGGTGGCTTCCGCAAGCTTCCAAAAACGCAGTTTTGGGCTTCCGCGGGCCAGTTGAGGTGGTGTATATCACCCCCTCCACCTTTCCCTATGCGAATACTCATTTCTTATACAGTGGGTTCAGAGTAGATGGCACAATCCCCAATGTCAGTGGTTTATATGGACCCCCATCTAAATGACATGTAGGGGTGCCAGTGCCATCTACTCTGAAACCACTGTAGTACATGATTTTTCTTAATACTCTCTCAGTTGGTCAGCGTCGTAGGTCCGGTGAGCGCTGTTGATGGCGGAGGACGTGCCACGGTGTGCCACTGTGTTTCAGAGTGTTTCATCAATGGCCCAAATGGTGTAATAGAGTAATCTTGATTAGTAATACCCATGTAGACTCAAGATATCGAGGGTATTACTAATCAAGAGTCTACAATTAGATATCTGTATACTCTTGTCGGACCGCAGTGGCCAGCATTTGACGTTCGATCTGCTGCTCCCTTCCTGGTCGTGCTGCGATATTAACACTGCCTGGTCTGTGCCCGTGAAGGATGGACCAAAATCGTCGTCGGCCACGGGCGCTCAGCGTCACTCATGTCACTCATCATGTCCTGCTTGGAGGGTCCGCTGCAGCGACGCCCTCCTACTCCTGCGGCCCGTCACTGCTTTTGCAGTCAGGACCTAAGACCTAAGAAAGACCGCTCGGCTCGCTCAGTGCCTGGTCGGAATACACGTTTGGGTGGTTTCACGGGTCAATGTAGGCATGTATTCATTCCATAGATGGAGTGTCTGGCAAAGGACAAGAATTCGCTTATGGACACCAAACACCCGCAAAGAGGTGTGCATTTACAGTCCCCTACAAGGATAAGATAAGGAAGTGCCCATTACAGCATGGGGTCCTGATGGTCCTGTCCTGGTAGTCTAACTTGAGAGGTTCATTGCAGCGAAACCCTCCGAAACCCACTAACACCATGGATCCTGGAGCAGAGCTGAAAAAAACACCGACGTAAAAACCATCAGAATCGGAACAGCTGTGTGACTCATTTCTGTAGGGACAGTTGAACAGAAGACACCAACAGACTCAACCATCTGGAGTTCCTTCCAGCGGCAACTCCGCCATACTTCGATGCTACCAGGAGTTGCCGTAGACGGTTGATTCATAAACCATCATAAACCTGCCCATATCATGCCATATCAAGATGTATAACCCTTCTGGTAGGGGATTATTGATCAGTCTACATTGATGCTCTTTGAAAACACCAGACCCGCCTGCTGAGTCCAAGTCTTTCTCTTCCAAAACCCTCAAACCCTGGTCTAGCAACCTGCGACTTGCCGCCCAAAAAATCTTGAGTCATTATGTGTGGGGGTCATTATGTAGTCAACCAATGAATGAAACGTAGCACTACCAAAGGCTCTTTTGATCTCTTTGGTATCTTTCTCACCGACGCAAACTGCACGCCAACACGTATCGGCGCCAACACTGGGCAAAGCCACAAGGACCCGAGCCTCAGCGATTCATATACAGGGCATCCACCTCCTTCCTCAGCCGTTTTTCTTACCCGCGCATGGTGTTTGGGGTGCCCTTGGATAGGGATAGGGGATGATGGAGGTGCTTAGGGGGAGGTCGTACGATGAGAGAAGGAGCGGCGGTGAACCAAAAAGGCTTCGATGGTAAAGGGCTTTTGCAGGCCAAAAAAGGGAGAAATTCACAACAGCGGTGCGCACTTTTGGCATAGCGCGAGTACCGACACAAACCAAAATTCCATCATACTCCGAACATATCCAAAGATCTCAAAGCAAAAGAACGCAAACATCCCCAAGTTTACACGGTGAACATCATCTATATATACTATGTCCAAATGAGATGGGACTTGTAAAATGTATGTCGTCAACCACCAGTCCTATCTCATCAGCGTACAACCATGTTTTTAGAGCTTCCACAAATCCCATCTCATCAGGGAAATCAAGAAAAACTATGCAAAACGAGAATCACTAGAAATCACTCCAGGTGATCCGAAAAGAACAAAGCGCACGTCTTTTCTAGCTGCTATATGCAAGGTTTGATGATTTGCTTTGTTTATAATACTTGCGGTATATATTGTCTTGCCAGGGCACCTCAGCAGCCACCCCCACCCCCCCCAAAACAAATAAACACATAAATTTGATGTCCACAGCCCACAACTCCTATCTCATTGCAATTTGTCAATGGAAGACGCCAGCATTTTGCACATGTGAGAAAGGACTAGTGGCCCAAAAGTCCCAACTCATTTTTGGGCACTAGTCACTAGTCCTATCTCATCTAAACCTAGTATAATATGTATATATATATATATACTGTTGATGGACAAAATCCTGCACCACTTTGCGCACACTTCTCTTGCTGCCCTCGTTCTCCCTCGTTAACATCGGGGCCACCACAGTGAGAAAACAAAAACAAGTTGAAGGTCCAAAATCCTGCACCGCCTCCTCAGAGGGGTCGCGCCAACATTGAATGAGGGGGCACGGGGGTTGCTATGCGACCCTTCCAGGGTAAAGTGGTGAGGTGGTGCAGGATTTTGTCCATCAACAGTACTCATATACATATCAAACACATCCGGATACTTGTGCAACTTGTGCATAGAAATTCCTTAGGACAACTCTTGAAGGCCTTCACCAGCCGGAAGTCTAACCGTGGGCGACCACTGCTTCTTGCGACCAGGCGACGCGGCCCAGGCGTCGACCACCAACTTCTGAGCCTCCTCGTTGATGTTGTGCCAGTTCCTCAACACGCTCAGCACACGACGACCGACCTGAAGGACGGCTTCGGCGCATGCGGAGAGAGAAGTAAACGGATGGCGTACCGGAAAAAGACCGGGCGAAGGCCAGCGACGAGACCCAAAGAGTTGAGGAGTTGAGGACTTTGACAGGTGAACAACAACAACAACAACAACAACAACAACAACAACAACACTATAGACATCTACATAGAAGTCGTTTTCGTTGTAACCAGGTCCCATAACACAACATTTGGGTGATAGCACTATTGAGTTGAAGTATCCAGTGGCAGCCATAAAGCGTCAAAAGCGCTGCCATGTGTGATGTCAGAGACACGAAAAGCGCATCTTACTCGCATTTGGTGGTTTGTCTTGCCAATTGAAAAGCCCCTTGATTTTATAGAATTTAATGGGCCAGGATGGAATGAGAAATTAAGGTTTTGGCAGCGCATTACTGGAGGAAAGACCAATGAGGATGCTGAGCAGCAAGATCCAGGTGTCTGCCGCAGTAGATTTCTTGGGATTGTGGCACGGGAAGCGCATTTAGAACATGAAGGGGAATCGAAGGATTTGAAAGTGGAGTTCACTCTTGAGGGCATCTTGGAGTTTAGAAGGACGAGCACCATGTTGGAACTACACAGCAGGAAGCCGGAGGTCAAACGAAAAAGACCCAACTACAATGGTCACAAGCGAAGATTTCTGGCGAAGCAAATCAACCGAGTAAAGTACCTAATCTGTGCTTTAAAATGTGTTGCGCTTACTTCCATTTGGTTTGTTGAAGATTTTGGTAAAACCACAAGCTGCCCTAAGCTGCTCTCAACATAACCCTTCCTCTCTTAGCTGAGGCATGGATCTTCTGGTCCATGCAGATCCAGGATTGAGGGCCTGATGTCTCGGGCCTGCAGATGTCATAGACAAACATGCTTCCAGCAGCTTCGACCATTGCTGGCCAGATTGCTGGAATTTCTGGCGATCTTTTGGGAGTTTGCCAAGGGGGTTCAAGACACCTTTGTGGGGGCCTTGTTATGTGTTGAGCAAAGCAGTGGTGCATTGAACACCATGTTTTCACATGCCCGGTGTGATGAGCGAGGTCCAGCGGGTTGTGGGCAAAGCTGAGCAAGGCAAGCGACGGCAGTGGTTTTTGATGGGAGAGCAGCTGTCACCAAAGTGCTGTACTGCAATTCTGGGAATGGGAAACGCCAGAATGTTTAGAGTAGAGCAGGGCCGAGGTGATCGAAGATACCAAATTTGGGGGGCAGCAACTTATCTAATTGTGAACCTTGTTTCATACTGTTTCTATCTGTTTCTTTATGTTTCCTTGCTGTGGTTTGACTTGTTTCCATGCCACGCCAAAGACACTGGGCCAAGGCAAGGAGGAGATGCCCAATTAAGGCCAAGAAAGTTCATCAGTTCCTTCTTAGCCAGTACCTCAAAGCGGCAGGACGGCAAGAAATTGACCGTGATTTTGGGAGAATATGCAAACAACAGCGATAGCTGCTTGCCAAGGATAACTTTGAACATTGAAACGAAGCCTGTTCCACAATTCTAATGTAGCTTTACTTTGAAGAGGTATGATGAAGTCACCCGAATTTAGTTGTTTTTATCTTTTGATCAGGTGAGTGCAGTGGATCCGATGCATCGTTCAATGACGAATTGGCAATGGCCGAAGAGACACTTGATACCGACGAAGAGCTCAAAATGCACATTTTGGGCATGCAGAGCTCCTGGACCCAGCAAGGCCCCAAGTCTTTTTGCCAAGAATCATGCAGGTGTTGCAACCAGTGCACTATGTTGTTGAGTTTGCGTTGGTCAGTTTTGCAAAACGACCTTTGTCAGCCACATTCTGAATCTTTTTGAGGGTTGTGGAGAGTAACTTTTGGACATCGTTTCGGGAGCTACCCACGCGGTGGCTCTCGCCGGGCAACCTGCGGATGTTATGGCAGCAAATGCGCCAAACTGACGACACCATATCGCTCTTTGGATGATTTAATCATGTCGACAGGCATTCAGTCTATTTCATAATAAGCACCATCACATGCCAAAGCCTCGCCAAGGTATCAAACATTTTGGAGAGCATACCAGTCCGAATGGCGAGGGGTGCTTAAGTGGCTGCCCCCGTCAACACACGGGGCATGCGACACATGCTGCAGCCTGAAGGAACAATTTCGAACTACACGAGACCTTTAGCAACGATTAGTGTTGTTGTGAGTCTTCAAGCTCTTGAATACACCTGCTATAGAATCACTCCGGTTGGTCTCAGGATGCGCAAGCGCTCTTCGAAGTATCAAAGGAATACAAGTCCCATATCGACCAATTTGGGCGAGACAGAGCTTTAGAAGAATTTCTTCAGGCTCAGGGTTCCATCTCATAGGTTTTGCAGGTTTTTAATTGTTTCCTTCAGTTTGACTTTTCATGAGTCTGAAGGCCCAGTCCCCAATCTCCTGCCCTGGAAGCCCAATCACGATCTTTTGGGCGCCTCTCTCGCAATCAGTGAAATGCACAGTCACGTTGGACGGACAGCAGGGCTTGCCAAGTGAGTGCCATGTTTTAAGGACGGAATGGATCAGGCCAAATGGTCGATACCAAGAGATCGAAACTCACGTGCATATAAGAGCAGCCAAATGCTTCCCAAACCCAAGTTCAAGATCCATGCAACATGGATCCACAACGTTGTCCTCTACCTTTGGGTATGCGACCCGCGACTACCGTCGGACTCTTCAATGGTCATTGAAGCGGGTTGCAGGGCGATTGAGTTTGCAGTTGACCTCATCAAGCAAAAGGGGGGCACAGTATCATCAGAGATCATCATAATGGATGCTTGGTTCAACCGGTTTTGGATCTGGAGAGGGTGGGGGGAAAACACCACTGATGAGACCCAAACCTTCCAACGTGTTTTGTGCAAGTATTTTGGGGACATTTGGGGACCTGAGCCTTCAACAACAAAACTTCCACTCGATCAACTTGCCCAGAATCTAAGGCAGATAACTGCGTGAGAGAAACAAAAAATCAAATGCTGCTGAAATTTCTGAACTACCTCACAGCCTCTGGCAAGTGTAAGCTCACAGCACTATTATTTAGTGCTGTGGGCCACACTCATGGTCCACTTGGCAGCTTGTATGCATGCTACTAAGTTGACAAGAACTTGGCAGCTTGTACGCATGCTACTAAGTTGACAAGAACTTGTTGACCACCCTCTTGTTTTCAAAACTCTGAGTTGAGACATGCTAAGACCAACTGTTCGGACTCCTCGCAACTGCAATGCGCTATTGTGACATACTATGCGATGCAGACGATATCACAGAGCAGGTGCCCAAGATTGCCCAGTTAAAATCACAACCGTGCAACTTTGTACGGTGAATCACAGTGCACCGCCAAGCATCCTGTAAGGAAGATCAACTACTTGCTTCACAAAATCGGGATCCGTGAGTGGATAGGGGAACATGCCCAGATCAAAGTGGAGTTCATATCAGGAGTGCGAGACTGGAAACAGTGGACCCTTGACCGTGATTAATTTGGCCGGTGGCGAACAGCACCAATCAACCACTAAACGCTAAAAGTCAGACATGTCTTTAATCGATCCACTCACTCACCATCGCTCCGTCACTGCTTGGCCAGGTTGAACCGGGCACCAGCGTCCTACGCAGGAGGATTGAGAGATGATGATACCGGGTGGCATGCCTTTATCATGGCTCGACGGAAAGGCTCATTCCTTAAGTCTGATAGTTCCTTTATGTTCCTTTCAAGTTCAAACAAACAAGTGTTTCTAGGTTTGAGGCTTCAATTTTCACTGTCCATTCCCTGCAGACCTTCCCCATAACTTGGAGATCACTGCTGCTGGACGGGGCGCTAGATTCCCCAATCACCCGGACGATGTGGTGACGATGGTGAAGAAACATGCATCCGATCAATACCTTGGCCAGGACTCCGAAACCTTGGTTTGGAAACATGTCAAACCAACCTTCATGTTTAACATATTCCTCCTCAGCCAACCCCTTGAGGAAGCCGTTTTGTCATTTCCTCATCGCTACCTGCAGCTGATGGGTCCGATCCCACAGGTACCACGGCCACTGAGAGCAGTAAAGCCGGCCAAACGGAAAAGTTATCTCACCCTGGCATCAATTCTTTTGAAAAAGGTTGCTATGGAAAGCACAGCAAGGTCAGTCCGTTTCCTGGTCGCCCTGTGCACAGACTTGACTCCTCAGCCAGTGCCACGATTGCCGTGGTTCGAGGAAGAGGTCGAGAACGACCAGATTGCGGTAGGACTGCCTCCGGCGATGGGCCGGCTGTGCCCGTCAATGAAGTTCACTGTGCGCTTGAGAGGGTAAAGTCTCAAATCATTGTTAAGTGTATGAACAGCAGTCACCATGTTGCAACTTCATGCAACATTCATGCATTGCACGGTTGACTCCCAGTGATTTTCGTTTGCAAAGCCGTTTGGCTGTTTTGTTTTTGAAGCGTGGAGGGGAAGTTTGGTTCAAGGCAGGAATCGCTTGTGAGTGAAGGTGGAAACAACGACCATCCTAACCCGCTTTCAAGGCAACCCCTCTATCTCTCTTGGAGATGGCTCAGGTGCATTCCCCTCATGTTTACATAAATCTGTCCAGCCTCATCCTGGAGGTCAATGATGACCAGCATCAGAGTTCTCTTGAGCCTGACAGCTTGGAGGAGCAGGGTTCAGGAAAGGGTCCCCACTGCTCAGTTGATCCTGTGCAGGACCAGGAGACCGAAGACCTTCACGAGTTCATCTATGAGTCGGATGCCTATGAAGACTCACAGGCCTTATTCTCAGAATTCTAGGAATCAGCAACCACAATGAACCAAGTTTGAGATTGAGCCTGCCTTCAGAGGTCACCGAAGATGTTCTACGAAGCCGAAAGGCCCACGTCTTTTTCTTGGTTCAATGATTGCTTTGTTTGTACCCGGCTTCAGGTAGTTAAGCAACTATGGGAAGAAAAGCCCTGGCGCACTCGAGAGGCTGGTCAGAGTCCAAATATCATACAAACACTT